CATGTTCAAGGAGATCCATGTTCAAGGAGATGCATGTTCAAGGAGATGCATGTTCAAGGAGATCCATGTTCAAGGAGATCCATGTTCAAGGAGATCCATGTTCAAGGAGATGCATGTTCAAGGAGATCCATGTTCAAGGAGATCCATGTTCAAGGAGATCCATGTTCAAGGAGATCCATGTTCAAGGAGATCCATGTTCAAGGAGATGCATGTTCAGGGAGATCCATGTTCAAGGAGATCCATGTTCAAGGAGATGCATGTTCAAGGAGATGCATGTTCAAGAAGATCCATGTTCAAGGAGATCCATGTTCAAGGAGATCCATGTTCAAGGAGATCCATGTTCAAGGAGATCCATGTTCAAGGAGATCCATGTTCAAGGAGATCCATGTTCAAGGAGATGCATGTTCAAGGAGATGCATGTTCAAGGAGATCCATGTTCAAGGAGATCCATGTTCAAGGAGATGCATGTTCAAGGAGATGCATGTTCAAGGAGATCCATGTTCAAGGAGATCCATGTTCAAGGAGATGCATGTTCAAGGAGATGCATGTTCAAGGAGATGCATGTTCAAGGAGATGCATGTTCAAGGAGATCCATGTTCAAGGAGATGCATGTTCAAGGAGATGCATGTTCAAGGAGATGCATGTTCAAGGAGATGCATGTTCAAGGAGATCCATGTTCAAGGAGATGCATGTTCAAGGAGATGCATGTTCAAGGAGATCCATGTTCAAGGAGATCCATGTTCAAGGAGATCCATGTTCAAGGAGATCCATGTTCAAGGAGATGCATGTTCAAGGAGATCCATGTTCAAGGATCCATGTTCAAGGAGATGCATGTTCAAGGAGATGCATGTTCAAGGAGATCCATGTTCAAGGAGATCCATGTTCAAGGAGATCCATGTTCAAGGAGATCCATGTTCAAGGAGATCCATGTTCAAGGAGATCCATGTTCAAGGAGATGCATGTTCAAGGAGATCCATGTTCAAGGAGATCCATGTTCAAGGAGATGCATGTTCAAGGAGATGCATGTTCAAGGAGATCCATGTTCAAGGAGATCCATGTTCAAGGAGATCCATGTTCAAGGAGATCCATGTTCAAGGAGATGCATGTTCAAGGAGATGCATGTTCAAGAAGATCCATGTTCAAGGAGATCCATGTTCAAGGAGATCCATGTTCAAGGAGATCCATGTTCAAGGAGATCCATGTTCAAGGAGATCCATGTTCAAGGAGATCCATGTTCAAGGAGATGCATGTTCAAGGAGATGCATGTTCAAGGAGATCCATGTTCAAGGAGATCCATGTTCAAGGAGATGCATGTTCAAGGAGATGCATGTTCAAGGAGATCCATGTTCAAGGAGATCCATGTTCAAGGAGATGCATGTTCAAGGAGATGCATGTTCAAGGAGATGCATGTTCAAGGAGATGCATGTTCAAGGAGATCCATGTTCAAGGAGATGCATGTTCAAGGAGATGCATGTTCAAGGAGATGCATGTTCAAGGAGATGCATGTTCAAGGAGATCCATGTTCAAGGAGATGCATGTTCAAGGAGATGCATGTTCAAGGAGATCCATGTTCAAGGAGATCCATGTTCAAGGAGATCCATGTTCAAGGAGATCCATGTTCAAGGAGATGCATGTTCAAGGAGATCCATGTTCAAGGATCCATGTTCAAGGAGATGCATGTTCAAGGAGATGCATGTTCAAGGAGATCCATGTTCAAGGAGATCCATGTTCAAGGAGATCCATGTTCAAGGAGATCCATGTTCAAGGAGATCCATGTTCAAGGAGATCCATGTTCAAGGAGATGCATGTTCAAGGAGATCCATGTTCAAGGAGATCCATGTTCAAGGAGATGCATGTTCAAGGAGATGCATGTTCAAGGAGATCCATGTTCAAGGAGATCCATGTTCAAGGAGATCCATGTTCAAGGAGATCCATGTTCAAGGAGATCCATGTTCAAGGAGATGCATGTTCAAGGAGATGCATGTTCAAGGAGATGCATGTTCAAGGAGATGCATGTTCAAGGAGATCCATGTTCAAGGAGATGCATGTTCAAGGAGATGCATGTTCAAGGAGATCCATGTTCAAGGAGATCCATGTTCAAGGAGATCCATGTTCAAGGAGATGCATGTTCAAGGAGATCCATGTTCAAGGAGATCCATGTTCAAGGAGATGCATGTTCAAGGAGATCCATGTTCAAGGAGATCCATGTTCAAGGAGATGCATGTTCAAGGAGATGCATGTTCAAGGAGATCCATGTTCAAGGAGATCCATGTTCAAGGAGATGCATGTTCAAGGAGATGCATGTTCAAGGAGATCCATGTTCAAGGAGATCCATGTTCAAGGAGATGCATGTTCAAGGAGATGCATGTTCAAGGAGATGCATGTTCAAGGAGATGCATGTTCAAGGAGATCCATGTTCAAGGAGATGCATGTTCAAGGAGATGCATGTTCAAGGAGATCCATGTTCAAGGAGATCCATGTTCAAGGAGATCCATGTTCAAGGAGATCCATGTTCAAGGAGATGCATGTTCAAGGAGATCCATGTTCAAGGAGATCCATGTTCAAGGAGATGCATGTTCAAGGAGATGCATGTTCAAGGAGATCCATGTTCAAGGAGATCCATGTTCAAGGAGATCCATGTTCAAGGAGATCCATGTTCAAGGAGATCCATGTTCAAGGAGATGCATGTTCAAGGAGATCCATGTTCAAGGAGATCCATGTTCAAGGAGATGCATGTTCAAGGAGATGCATGTTCAAGGAGATCCATGTTCAAGGAGATCCATGTTCAAGGAGATCCATGTTCAAGGAGATCCATGTTCAAGGAGATCCATGTTCAAGGAGATGCATGTTCAAGGAGATCCATGTTCAAGGAGATGCATGTTCAAGGAGATGCATGTTCAAGGAGATCCATGTTCAAGGAGATGCATGTTCAAGGAGATGCATGTTCAAGGAGATCCATGTTCAAGGAGATCCATGTTCAAGGAGATCCATGTTCAAGGAGATGCATGTTCAAGGAGATCCATGTTCAAGGAGATCCATGTTCAAGGAGATGCATGTTCAAGGAGATGCATGTTCAAGGAGATCCATGTTCAAGGAGATCCATGTTCAAGGAGATCCATGTTCAAGGAGATCCATGTTCAAGGAGATCCATGTTCAAGGAGATCCATGTTCAAGGAGATCCATGTTCAAGGAGATCCATGTTCAAGGAGATCCATGTTCAAGGAGATCCATGTTCAAGGAGATCCATGTTCAAGGAGATGCATGTTCAAGGAGATCCATGTTCAAGGAGATCCATGTTCAAGGAGATGCATGTTCAAGGAGATCCATGTTCAAGGAGATCCATGTTCAAGGAGATCCATGTTCAAGGAGATGCATGTTCAAGGAGATCCATGTTCAAGGAGATCCATGTTCAAGGAGATGCATGTTCAAGGAGATGCATGTTCAAGGAGATCCATGTTCAAGGAGACCCATGTTCAAGGAGATCCATGTTCAAGGAGATCCATGTTCAAGGAGATCCATGTTCAAGGAGATCCATGTTCAAGGAGATCCATGTTCAAGGAGATCCATGTTCAAGGAGATCCATGTTCAAGGAGATCCATGTTCAAGGAGATCCATGTTCAAGGAGATGCATGTTCAAGGAGATCCATGTTCAAGGAGATCCATGTTCAAGGAGATCCATGTTCAAGGAGATCCATGTTCAAGGAGATGCATGTTCAAGGAGATCCATGTTCAAGGAGATCCATATTCAAGGAGATGCATGACAGAAGCCAGGCGAATGAAGATAATTATTAACATTTTGAGAAACCGGCTGCAACGTTGCATGGGTATGGCAACATGGAAGCGAGAATTGAGCAGCCAGGGTCTCTTTGGTACAGCCATGAGAGATTCTGCAGCAGCGCAATCATGCTTGGAATGGATCCCTCAAGCTTGTTGTCGTTCAGGTAGCTGGATTTATCAGGTGGGATGGGGTGAATGGCATGGCATGGCATGTCAGCGCATGATAATAATCAAGCTGTCAGAACAGCATGAAAAGCCGACGCTTTGTGTGCACAACAGAATGAGGGTTGTTGCGATTCCTCGGAACTCTCAGGTGAGGACGGGCGATGTGGTAACCATCGCTCTTGCCATTTTGTGAGAACATTCATCCATGTGGTTAACACCTTTCTCGCTACCCCCTCCGTGCACACTCACTCGCTCGTCCCTCTCCCTCCCTCATCCCTCACAGGGCACAGAGGTTGGTCAAGGCGCCTATAGAAGTGGGTATGGCTCCTGTCAGCGTGTTGTTGGATAGCACACTAGGCGAGGAGGAAGAGGGTTCAGAACAGAGGAGATACGGACATGGGGGTGTGTTGTGGAAAGTGGCATAGAAAGATGGAGAGTGGTAAAGAGCTGTATTGAGTCAAAAGGTGGCATGGGGTGGGATGGCATGGCATGGAATGGCATGGAAGGGTGCGGGAATTTTTTTGTTCAAAAGCCTTTCAGAATTTGGATGAGCACAATACAGATGTTGTCTACTCTTTGTTACCCATGCGTTCCTTTGAACCTCTTGTTCAAAAGGCCACCTTGAACCAATATGTACCACACCCTATAATGTACACAGTGAAATGTACCACATCCTAACGAGGGTTGCTGCAATTTCTCACAACTCTCACGTGAGCACGGGCGTTGTGGTAACCACCTCCCTCACTAACCAGTGAATACAGGTATTGTGGTAACCACCTCCCGGACATTGATGCGCTAACCAGCTCTTGGATACAGATGTGGTAACCACCTCTCTCTCGTGATCTCTTGTGAGGAAATCTACATGGTAACCCACTGATCTGCATCACCCTCTCTACGCCCTCTGTGCACACTCATCCATTTGTCCCCCCCCGTCCCTCCCTCCCTCCCTCCCCCACTTCCTCCCTCCCTCCCTCCCTCCCCCCCTCCCTCCCCCCCTCCCCCATCCCCCCCTCCCTCCCTCCTCCCCCTTTACCTCCCTCCCTCCCTCCCTCCCTCCCTCACAGGGCATTGAGGTTCGTCAAGACGCCTATAGAAGTGGGTATGACTCCTGTCAGCTTGTTGTTGGATAGCTCACTGGGCGAGGAGAAAGAGCAGGCAGGGTATAGAACAGAAGAGAGATGGGACATGGGGGTGTGTCGCGGAAATTGGTATAGATCGTTGGAGTGGAGAGCAGAGAGTAGAGAGCGTGGTAAAGTGCGGGTAGAGAGCAGTAACGTGAGTGAACAGCGAGTGTGTGTGGTTGCATACGCACAAGCATGGAGGGAGGGAGGGAGGGAGGGAGGGAGGGAGGGAGGGAGGGAGGGAGGGAGGGAGGGAGGGAGGGAGGAAGGGAGGGAGGGAGGGAGGGAGGGAGGGAGGGAGGGAGGGAGGGAGGGAGGGAGGGAGGGAGGGAGGGAGAAAGGGAGGGAAGATGGATGAACGAGAGGGTGTGGAAATAGAATATGGGTGGGGGAACGGCGGGATAGAGGGGTCGATGCTCAAGGAAGGAAAGATACGACAGCAATTCTGGCGGATAAACTTTGACACGTGCATATGTGGGAGCACTGACATGTGGGTGAGTCTATAGAAAGAACCGGGGAAGGCAGGGATGGGCCCCTCGAGCTCATTGTTGGCCATTGACCTGCGAGCAGCATGCAGCACGGGGTGAAGGCATTCACACACTAGCTGTGCCTATTTCTGAGGCGATTCAAGGTGATTCTTGCGTTTATGAAAACAGAAATAAAAGCTACAGAGTAGGGGGCAGGGCGTGAAAGACGGAGCATGAGAGGTGTGGAAAGCACAAGAAGTGAGAAAGCGTGGCCAATGCAAGAGCATGTGCATGCCTCCAGTTGCAGGAATATGTGAGTCGCGAGTTGCAGCAGAGTGCGATACGGACTGGCGGCCACTGGGAGAGAGAGGGTCATGGGACTGACAGGTAGTGAAGGAACGGCAAGCTGCCCATTTGCGAGGGAATGGTGTCTGAGAGCATGTTGTGCGAGAGGTAGCTGCAAGGGTGAGCGATAACATGTCCGCAAAGACACAACATGAGATGCAGGGGAGAGGAGGAGAGGAAAAGGCAAAAAAACTGATTCAAATATGCTGGTAAACTAAGAAGTATTCGACGCTCAATAGGGATACCCACGTCCGCCACCCTCAATTGGAATACCCACAACCCTCAACCTCTCCTTACTGTTGGCGGCATCGTGCCCTCAACCGCCCCCTACGCCTCCTGTTGGTAAACAAGCTGCCGACAAGAATGTTGGGATTACTAGAATGAATCGCGACACCAACGTCCACCACAGTCTTGTTTCATCTTGACCACGTGACTACCTACACCCCATGCTTCCACAACCCCACTGCTGACGTTGTCCGGAAGCCGCATGTTTTTACAAAACATATGGGGAAGTATCTCGTGGAAAAATAAATATTTGATAAAGCTCGCGGAGGTTGGTGACGTGCAGCCTTCTGCATCCCCTCGAAGCTCCACAAAGAAGGAACTCGCTGCGCTGCACATTAGCTGCCTTACACTCGTGTTTGACCTCAAGTGTGAGCCGCTGGTTGGATGTTCAACTGCGCCCACTGGTGTTACCAACGCAGGCTTACCTACGGGACTCCCTCTCGCAACTGCTGAATCTGGAAAACAAACTAATTTGTCTAGCGGAAATCTTCTAGCTACCCCAGCATCCCATTTCGGGTGGATCCCACGTGTTGTAGTTACTTGCCTTTCGCTTCATTCCACCTCTGACACTGTAAGACCGGTTCTGCCTCAACCTTTCTTGCTTCTTAAGGCGCCTTTTTCCCGCTGAATTCCTCAGCATCTTTCAAAGTGCCAAGCAGGCTAAAGAAGAATTTCAAACACACCGACTCTCTTCCCCCTTAGACGCACCTTCCCGGCCTTGAAGGCACTGTTCGCTTCAGTGAAAGCTCGTTTCAGGCTGGGAGCCCGTTTGAGGCGCCTATAAAACTGTCTCGATTAATGCGATTCGTATATGGAAATATTTTTATTGCATGGAGCTGTGCCCATAAATTGTGAAAGTAACTTGCAGCGGCGGATTTTTTCCCTTGAGTGTAGCAAATGCCCATTGATAGGCAATGTAGGTAGTTGAGATTGTTGAGATCTAGCTCATAACTCTTGATCTCAATTCTCCCCACCTAATAACCGGGACAAGTGAACAACCTGGTTTTCTTTTAGTGACGCAGTTTTTGCAATCAAATTTCCCTTGACTAGGGTAGATTTTACCTTTCGATGTTTCGTACTGAAGCACTTTCTCTAGCACCATTGCCCTTTTAAGCAAGAATGACGCCGTAAACGCTGGCTGGCACACTTACAGATATCGGAGGGACGACATTTTTCTTATGGCCGGGGGAATGGCACCAGACAGCTGGTTGTTGGAGAGAGAGCTGCGATGGGGCCATGCGGGCCATGGGAGATGGAGAGCCGCAGAGGCATTGGAATGTCACGTGGGGGGCTATAGTGATGGCATGGGAGTGAGACATGGCACGAGAGGGAGGCATGGGTTGCTTGGTCGTCGATGGCTGCTTGATTGGCAATGACTGGCACACTCACAAGATTTGGAGGGCCGTGAGAGCGCTTATGTCGGGGGGAATGGCACCCGACAGCTGGTTGTTCTGAAGCATGCTGCAACAGGGACATGCAGGCCATGGGAGATGGAGAGTCATGGGGGCACATTGGCATGACACGTCCAGGGGTACAGTGACGGCTAGGCATGCGGACAAATCTGAGTCAATTTTCTTGGATCGCCAAAAAAGGTTGCACCAGTCCATCCGTACTCGTTCGAAAAAGTGAGCCCTGGCTGTAAGTTTCCTCTTCCCCTTGAGAGCATCTCATCCACTTCCCATCTCAATTAAGAAGATGTCGACCCAACCTCGGACAATACAATTCTGCCGTACCCTTTGCCGGGGTTCTCTGCTAACATGTTATTCGATATTAACCCTTCTGTGATGCCAAAACCATGGATACCCATCACTGAGCATGAGCAACGGTCGAACTCGAGCGTGCTCCTGTCAAACACTTCCAAACACCCCTTCAACTCGCACCGAACATGTTCGGTTCGAATCGAACACTTTTTCCAAAAAGTGGTGTTAGATTCGACTGTTCACCCATGGGGCAAACAGTTTAGTGTTTGATATGAGCAGGTAACTGTTTGACCCGAACAAGAACATATTCGATGTTCGACGCGCCTTGACAACAGCGAACGAACACTCGAACACGTTCGTCACAAACACTTATATGTTCTGGTCGAAAACTTCTTGCCAAAAATAACCAACTGTTCAAAGTTTAGGGTTTATTTTTATTGGAATATGCCACCACAATAAACCATCTAGTTTGTACACGACGGGGCCTTACCGGTCAACCTGGCATTGCAACCCGTGCGACCCAAGTCGCACAGGGAAAACCCCTGTTTGACTCGAACACAGTGTCAAGTCGGACAAGTTTGGTTCGGCACGTCTTAACTAAACAAGACAAACCGAACCAAATTGTAGACTCAAACATTATCACGTTCAATATACGGCTCAACCTGTGGTCATGGCGGTTTAGAGTGCAAGTGTTAGAGTGGGACGTGGCATAGGAGAAAGGCATGGGTTGTTAAGTCGCCTATGGTTGCTGGGTTGCAACCAATGACTGGCACACTCACAAGTGCATGAGGCCCTTGAGGGCGCCAACGGTGGCGGGAATGGCACCAGACAGCTGGTTGTTGGAGAGAGAGCTGGGACGTGGACATACGGGACATGGGAGATGGAGAGTCATTGGGGTATTGACATGGTATGTGTGGGGGACGGTAGTGGCAGTGAGGCTTGGCATGGAATCGAGGCATGGATTACAGTGAGATAAGCGAAGGAATTGTGTCCTCTATGGCTGCTTGGACGTCAATGGTTGCCGCCACTCATGGTTGGAAAGGGTGGTAGAGAACGAGGAGAAAAAAATAACGGCAGTGATATTCAATTGCAAGCATGCTTCGTCAAAGGGTGGAAAAAATCGTTGATCCTTCAACAGTGATTCTGGTCAATCGAAACAGCATAGTGTGAACTAATAGTAACCCACCCACACACAAACAAAACCAAAAAAAATCTCAACTACCAAAATTGCCTTTCAACGAACATTCGTCAATACACCCTTGGGTAAAAACCCAAGGTTGCAAGTGTTGACCTTCAGAAGCGTGATCATCGGGACATTTGCAAGTCACTGTGACTTAGTCACGTACACACCTCCATGCAATAGAGCTTTTCTCCATGTTAAAACCATGTGAACTGGCACGAGTTTCGAGGTGCCTAAGAAAATATGCTTGGTCGTGTGTGGCTGTTCGATGGCCAATGCATAGCAAACGTACAGCATTTGGAGGGCCGTGAGTGCACCAATGGCGGGGGGAATGGCACCAGACAGCGTGTTGTTGGAGAGATAACTGCGATGGGGGCGTGCGGGCCGTGGGAGATGGAGGGTTGTGGGGGTACATTGACATGGCACGTGAGGAGGCATGGCGATGGAATGGGAGTGAGACTAGGCATGGGAATGAGACATGAGAAGGAGGCATGGGAGTGAAATCAGGACGTGAGCCATAAAAGATGCTGAGGTGCGCTGTGAACGCACACGGACAAGCATGGTCAGAGCATGCAGAGGGACAGAGACAGCCATGTCATACGCATTCATCCCATGTGTGATGAGACATGGGAGGCGATGGTGTGATGTGAGAAGAGGCGAGGTGACACATGAGAGCACGTGCAATGCAGGTGCGTCTGCACAAAAAGTGGACGGATGATGTGAGGCACGAATTGAATGACTTTGGGAAAAAAATGGACGGGTGATGTGGAATAGCACGAATAGAATGAGTTCGAGAATTCTCAAAAGGGTGATGTGATAGGCGAATGGAGTGGCACGCACAGGCCTGTAAGAGCAGTCATGTGTGAGATGGCATCTGGAATGGCCTCGCTTAGATTGTTGCATTGCAGATCACTGCGGGAGAGATGGGGAGTGGGAGAGAAGGAGAGGAGAGTTGCTTGGTAACCTGCATGACCGCATCTCTCACAGAATCAAGGCGAGGACCTTTAGAGAAGGTAGCCTAGGACTTGGCCATATCTGCACTCTGCCTTTTGCGCTTCTGCTCTTAGGGCTGGCCATTCATCTCTCTAAAGCCCTGCTCCATCCCCGTGAGCTGATTCTTTCGTTTTCATATCAGCTTAGCGACGGCTCGCGCCGGCAGCCGGCCTTCGGCCACGTTAAGGGACGGCTAGAAAGACGAAACTGGAAAAGAAAAGAGAATGCATCCTACTCTAAGAGTGCAGAGGGTATACTCCACACAAGATAGCAAGCACCTACTGCGGAGATAGCTAGTACAACGGGAGATAGGCTACGAGCTAGGTACAGGGCAAGAGTGTTCTCTGCGTTCGTTCCTTAGTCGTTCACTTGTGCTCACTCTACTTGCGCATTCACAGGGAAAGTTGGCAAGAGTTTCACTAGCAAAAGTTCACAACAATGGGTGATACAACATTGGCAACACAGACTACATCAGAGCTAGGTAGGCTGCTGGTCGACCTCCAGCGCAGCATGGTCGACCACGATCCAGCGCAGCAGAGCTCGCACCGCTCCAGCGTTGCAGAGTAGCGGTTTGCCAACGTTGCAAGTCCGCGGTGTGCCAACGCTGCAGCAAGTCGGCTGCAGAGCGTTGCACCCGCAGGACAACGGTGCACCTGCTTCGCAGGTGCGTGCAGCTGGTTGGTGCACCACTCCTTGTCACGTGCACAGCGCAGACGTCCAAGTCGAGTCCACGCCAGCGACTGCGCCTACCAGCCACGTCGGCCTCGGGGTACCACCTCTGAGGTAGGCCTCGCCGCAACTAACCCGGCGACCATCGCACACGTCGCCCGGGTAACTCGATCGACCGGCCAACCACGCCTGGTCGCTCAGCCCAGCCGGACGCCGGCTACACCAGTCCGGCGTCCCCACAAGAGGTGTCCCAGCACCCAGGTCGACGTCCGGACGCCTAGGTCGGCGTCCAGGCGCCCAAAGCGCCGTCCAGACGCCTAGGTCGGCGTCCAGCCTTACAGGACGCCGTCCAGACGCCCAGGTCGGCGTCCAGGCGTCCAGGACGCCGTGCAGGCGCCCAGGTCGGCGTCCAGGCTCCTAGGACGCCGTCCAGACGCCTAGGACGGCGTGCTCCTGCTCGGCGTCCTCCAGCCAGGCGCCCTCCTGCTCGGCGCCCGCCACTGCAGCTGATCGACTGCGCACCTCGCGCACCCGACAACGAAGTCGGCTCCGCCCAAGCGAGGACGGGGCCAACCACAACTCCCGTTGACACCTACACCATGCAGCCTACCCTCAAAGCGTCCACGGTACCTCCCAAGGTCTTCTCAGTTGGTGGACAAAGCGTCTAATGCGGTTGGGCTGCAGGGGTGGCGGCTCGGTCCAAGGACCGCAAGTACGGTAACCAACGGTCCAACACAGCCTGCGCTGGTCTTTCCTCCCAAAGGCCGTTGGTTGGAACGTATGGGTACTGCTTACCTGGCGTGCTCGATCTCGCACGGCACCAACCTCGCGCGGCAGAGCAGCTTCCGAATGCGGGAAGACGCGAAGCTGTCTGTACCACACTTACCGGCAGCATTGGCCGGTGGCTGTCAAAGGGCCCACGCGATTGCAATTATCGCCAAGGCCCTGACGGCTTTCGAGGCCGAGGCGGCCCCAACTGCGTGCTGAGGCGAGTCTCTGGGCACCGGGTCGGGTCCTTCCTTCTGCACGTGCTCGACACTGAGCTGGAGAGCTGCCATGGATCCTTTCCTTACTTGTGCCTGGCTGTCGTACAATTGTGCTAAATCGAGCATGCATTCAAGAGAGGGGGAACCCTTAGCCTGCTGTCTACTCCCTCTACCCTTAGTGGACAGGAGGAAGAGTGGCAACAGCGCAGTTGAGTCCTCCCCATCTTCGGCTGGCACGTAGCAATCCCAAGCTCCAGCGAAAATACGTGTTCCTTGTCACATGACCTAGATGTTCCGTCATCTGAGGGCGTGATAGTAATTAGTCTCCACAAAGACCCTTGGCCAGCTGTGACTCATTGAGTCTGTGACTGCTGGAAGCTGCCAGAGGGTGCTTCATGAGATCAGAAGGTGCTATCATGGACCTAGGGAGAGCTCACACACACCGGGCCATGCTGGCGAGCTCATAAAGCAGCTGTGCTTAGAGGCTGCGTGCTGCCTGTGGTTCAGAGGTAGAACAGCTTGCAGCAGTTGTAACGCCTGCGTCGGAAGTGCTCGAGCGGGGGGGCGTCGCCTGCCCTTCAGTTGCCGTCAGCGGTATGGGATCAAGCAGCTGTGGTGGGGACCAGGACAGCAGTTGACGCTGCCTGCCTCCCTCCCCCCCTCCCCGCCTCCCTGCCTCGCCACCCCCCTCCCTGCCTCCTCCACTCCCTCCCTCCCCATTTACATCCCGCCCTCCCTCCCTCCCTCCCCCCTTCTCTCCCTCACTCCCCCCTTCACTCCCCCCCTACTCCCCCCCCCCCCCCCCTACACATGTCCCGTTGCCTCTCACAGTAGGCTGAGCGAGGTGAGCGCGCTGAAGGATGCCGGAATGGGGCCCTCCAGGTCGTTATAGCACAGGCTGCTGCTCACGTGACAGCACGGCACACAGAAATTGCGATGGGGCAGTGAGGGGGGGGGGGGGGGACAGAGGACATAGGGAGGGAGAGGGGATATGGCTGGTGAGGCGGGTGAAAAGAAAGAGTTGCTTCAAAGCGCTCCTGGTTGCTATAACACGCAAAGAAGTTATTGTAGAAAATGGAAAGGAATACAGAGGTGCATGCAGAGGGATACTGAGGTGCATGCAGAGGGATACAGAGGTGCATGCAGAGGGATACTGAGGTGCATGCAGAGGGATACTGAGGTGCATGCAGAGTTTGGGTGCGATGAAGTGTTGCTGCGTGCTGGTAGCGGGGAAGGGAGGAAGGGAGATCGATAGATGCATGGCTAGGGGAGGAGAGGCCGCAGGGGCCCGGGATGAGAATGACGTGGTGTGCTGAAAACGTGTGGAGCGATGTAGAGTGGTAGAATAGGTTAGAGAGTGGTGAGAGTATCAAAGCACTGCAAAATGCTTGCAAACCTCGCTTTGGAGAGGCATCGGGGTATAGAGAGTGGTGAGGCAGGCGTACAGAGTGGTGAGAGAGGTGAGAGTGGCAAGTGCTGTTGGGATGGATCTTGGGATGGACCCACTTAGATGCAACATTCTAGCCCACCTGTTGTGTTTTATTGCGCACACACATGCCCACATGCACACATGCACGCACGCGTGCACGCACGCACACACAAAAAACACACAGTCACTCACACACTCACACACACACACACACACTCTCTCTCTCTCTCACAAACACACACCGGCACACACAAGGCACACACACACATAGGCACACACACACACAGAGGCACAGAAGCAGCAGTAGAGTGAGTGAAACACAGTCACAGCACACTGACAGCATGTCAGTGGCTTCTGTGGCCCACCGCACCCCCCCTCCCTCCCCACCCTCCATTGCTGCTACAACCACCATTCTGTGCTCCCATTCCCCTCCCTCCCCTCCCTCCCTCCTTCCCTGTTAACGCACATGCCAGTGACGAGCCCGTTGGCATCGCAGGCAATGAACTCCGCCCTGTCACACTCGCCTCCCACCCGCCACCCGTAAGGTGACAAGCCCCATGCTGCAGCGCACTCCGCCAGCACCCGCGCTGCCAGGGGGGAGGCAGGGGGAGGCAGGGGAAGGAAAAGGGGATGAGGGAGGGAGGGTAAGGGGAAGGGTTGGGGGAGGGGGCGAGGCAGGGGAGAGGCAGGGAGGATGCAGGGGGTATGCAGGGGAAGGGAGGGGGTAGGGATTGGGGACAGAGGGAGAAGGGAGGATGACGGGGACGGGGTTGAGTTGGGCGCTGAGAGAGCGATCAATCATGCTGCAGCGGGCATGCTCATTGGGCTTTGGACGAAGCAGGAAAAGAGGAATGCAGCGAGGGAGCATAGCAGTGAGGGCTTGGAGTGGATTGGTATACGTTCGTCAAGGTGGGGACTGTGGTGTGGGCCATGACAGGGAGGAGGGTGGGAAGAGGGGGGGAAGAGAGCAGCAGCGGAGGTTGGGGAGTGGAAGAACAAGAGGGAGTGAGGGAGAGGGATGGGCCTGGAGGGAAGGGATGCAAATCAGCGGCAAGGACGAGGCTGTGGATGGGGTACAGTGGGAAAGAGGGGGAGTGGGAGAGGAAGGGGAGGGGAGTGGAGAGGAAGAGAAGGGAGTGGGATATTTGGAGAACGGGGGGGAGAGGGGGAGAGTGGGGGAGAGTTTGGAATAGTGGGGTCGAGCAGCGGTGCAGGTAGGAGGAGGAGGAGGAGGAGCGAGCGACCTTGGGCGTCGTTGATGCGAGTGGCGGCAGCAGGGCACGGCGGGAGGAGAAGCAGCCCCGCCGCAGCCGCCAGCAGCAGCAGCAGCGGCGGCGGCAGTGGCAGGCGGAGGTGCAGCAGCGGCGGAGGGAAGGAGAAGCTGCGCGGGTCGGCCATGACTGTCCAGATCGATCTTTCTTTGGAGGACGGAATGAAGGGAGGCAAGACGTGCTGAAGTAGAGGAGTGGTGAGGGTGAATGGCCCGTGCGGAGGGAGGCTGATGATGCAGCGGCCACGGTGGTGCCACGTAATCAACTCACGGCTGCGCGTGTGTCTCTTCTGAGAAATATCAAAGCTGCTGCCACGGCAGCTTCGCTCAGGCAGCCAGGGAAAGGCTGAGCCTGCGTTTCCAAGATTGCACTCGCAGTAAGTAGTAAGTTGGCGGTGTGAAACGCTTCAGTGAACACAGTATGAACACGACTAGGGAGGTTCTCAGCGTCTAAGAATTCGAGTCGAGCAATGGCAGTGCGACAGCCTGGACTGGCACATATTGATATTTTTACAGGACGACGCGGGCGGGGGAGAAGAAGTAGTAGTAGTGAGTTCAACTCATGTCGTCGTTGTTTGCAAACGACTCACACGAACGTGCTTTGTTTGCAGGGCTATACATAAAGAAGACACGGCGCGGCGAAGCGCCAGGCCGCTGAAACTCGAAAGTCATCCACAAGTGAGGACGTGGCGCGAGATCTCGGTTCTTGCCAACAAAGGAGAGGCCTCGCGTGTGATACGCGTGGACCCGCGGCGGCCATGGGACTCAGCGCGGCCCGGCTCCCGGAGCTGCCAAGCCGCGCGACACTGTTTCACCATTGGATGGAACAGACTGAAATGGGGACTCGCCACGGCCGACGAGTCATGTGGATGAGATGAGGGTAAAGCGATAACAGAGAGTGCCGTTTCTGCTGCCGCGGTGTGCGTGTGACGCGACGCAACGAGCTCCACCTTCATGGGGAAGGTCGAAACTCGGCGTGATGCTTCGGCAGCCAACATGACTGTTGAGTCATGATGACAATGGCAGACCTGCATGGTGCACGCCCACATTTTGCCGAGTACACTCCCGCCTTATTTGTAGAGAAGTAACTCAGTTAATTTACAATTGTGAAGGAGGTATAAGTATGATGCAAATCAGGAAGTGTGCACCACAACAAATATGATGCAAAAAAAAACCAAACACACAATGAACATAAATACACCAACTATTGCTTCAATCAAGTTATACTAAGAACGTATAAATATATCGTTTGATAAGAATGTAGTGAACTTATTGTTTAGAATGCCAATAGTTAATTGTAACAACATACTATGATGTAACGTTTATATCTTCAACAGGAAAGAGCATAAATAGCGTGCATGGCTATGCCCACTTATGAGTGTGAGTCAGATGCACTTGTAGCCGTTGCAGCTGCGGACGAAGGGAATGCAGATGCGGCCCGGGCAGGACTTGAACGAGCAGGGGCGACGCTTCTTCGTGCACTTAGGAGGGTTGGGAGCTGTTCGCAGAGCAGGAGGGGAGGGGAGGACAAAGTGGGTGTGATGTGAGTGGATGTGTGGGGCCATGTGTGTGTGTGTGTGTGTGTGTGTGTGTGTGTGTGTGTGTGTGTGTGTGTGTGTGTGTGTGCATGTGTTATACACTCAAGCACGTGCACGGACCAGCACACACATACGTAGGCGAGCATGCAGGTGCGAGCCAAAGCATGCACACAGGGACAGGCGGGTGCAGCAATGTGCTGGGTACTTGCATGCACACTTCATGGATCACCCTCCATCCCAGCCATCATTCTCTCCCCCAATCATGCTCTCTCCTCCACATCCGCTCATTCAAGTCAACTCACACAAGTCAAGTGCTGTGTCTATGAAACAGAGAGCTCTCAGACATGACCTTTCTATAACAATATGAGGCCGCTATTTATGGCGCCTCAAATGTGACACCGGTTTTATGGCGCCTCAAAAACATTCTTCCAACACTCGCTCGCACCTCCCCACCTTCCGAAATCTCCTCACCTCCTTTACGATGTTCCTCCCACATGCTTCCCCTGCCTGCGCCCTCTTTCTCATGCTTGCGAACACACGAATGACAGTGAAATCTTAGCGCAATGTTGTAACTCAGAACCTCCTCCTTACCCTTGCGAGAGCACGTGTCGCAGAAGTCAGTGCAGGCACGGCAGAAGGCTGTGCCGGAGTACTGCACCACCTCGCACTCCCCAGAATCGCATGGCGTCGCCTCGTAGTTGACATAACTGCCAGACAGCGAGCCAAGACCAAGCAGCGGGAGGAAAAGCGGGAGGGGTTGGGAGAGAAGCTGGTGGGTAGGGTTTGGGCAGACGTTAGGTTGAGAGATCTTTCAGAATGGGATCGTGAAATAGCATGGAGGGGTTAAGCCGTGATTGCACGCTGAAGGGCTTAAGAGGAGCAGCAGCGGAGGTGCGGTGCAGGTACTGCAGAATAGGGAAGAAGAAGACAGGGTAACAGAGGAAGGGGAAGAAGAGAGGGACGGCTCACAGGTTCATTTTTTTGCTTGCTTGTTTTTTTTTTTGTGTTTTTTTTTTTTTTTTTTTGGAGGAGGTATATTGATATAATGTAAAAAATCCACAGTGGTAATTAAGGCGGCTGACAGGTACTGCAGATTGAGCATGGCGCCCATGGAGGCCGGGATGGAGCCCGTGAGTGTTGGTATCTGCAGGTCACTGAGTGAGGGATGACCATGGTGTGCATGGTGGTATGCAAGTTGAAGTGTTGGATGATGCATGGTCGCATCATGGAGAGCGATGCAGCAAACCATGGGAGGATGGTTGCATTCAGGAAGGACATGCGATGAGCACGAGAAGAGGGCAATAATAAGGGGCAAAAAATATTATTATGGCAACAAAGGGTGAGTGTTGGTATCCAAAGGTAAACTGAGTGAGTGTTGACCATGTATGATGGTATGCATGGTGGCTTGTGGGACGTTGCATGGTGGCACTGGCATGGTGCAGCAAAAGTGAATCAAGGGAGGTGGTGCCATTCAGGGGGGAGGAGAAGGGGCGATCGACACGACAAGAGGGCAAAGAAAGGGGAGAAAATATCAGCATGGTAACAAAGAGTGAGGGACGTGAAGAGAACTAGGGTCAACAGGAGTGAAGGGATGGCCCTGACGTTCAAGGAAGAAAGAGAGATGCGTTCTGATTCTGAGATGAGCATCAAATGTTCACAAGCGCCTTGCACATGTTACACATGCATCTTGTTCCTCCCGGGACACAACGGGACGCGACGCGACGAGTTCCTCCTTCACGGGGAAGCTCGCAACTCCGAGTGACGCTTCCGGCAGCCAACGTGCCTGTCGAGTCATCATGATTATGACGACGACAGACCGCTGCAGGAAAACCGCGCAGTCCAGCTCCACCCCACCTCTTTCTATCTCTGTTCACACGCATTCAACCAACACTGAATTTGCGTTAGGGATCAGCAAGGTGAGCAGAAATTTCAACTTTGCTGCTAACTCTCCCTTCGCCTTGTCCTCGAAACTCTCATTGGGGTCATGCGCGATCAAGCCGTCATCGTCATCATTGAGAATGTCGTAGCGCGTGCCAGTGACAAAGGCTTCACCCTCATCCTCCTCAGCGCCAGGGTCCCCGTCGGATTCTTCCGAGACAGCCCGTGTCCCAAATTGCGGGCCGCGCGGGTCAAGCTTTTAAAACTTGAAGAAGTGGGCTGTGCAAGCTTTGAAAAGAAGCGCACCTGCAATTTGGAACTTTCGAGGTCTGACACACCCACAAGGGTAAAAACGAGGGGCTGGCTGGGTTTGGCGAAAAAACGAATTTGACGAAATCAGAAAACACTCGCCAAAGCCCAAACTACCAAAACTCCCTCACGTCAACTTTTTAAAACTTGTGCAATTTGGGTCAACGGCTTTAAAAAATTGCATCCTTCTTCTTTCCATTATCCTGACCACCTTTCCCACCATCAGCAGCTTGCTCAATCCGGACCTGCACGAGCCTGTATTCGTGCGTGAGGGCTCCGAGAGAAATGTGTCCGCGCAGTAGAGCGCGTCCTGCAGCCGCGAAAATGTTCGCAGTGCATTCTGGGTTCGCGTCTGCGCGGGAGCGAGGTTTCGCGTTTGTGCTGGGGCGAAGGTTTCGCGCCCCTAGAGGTTTCGCGTTGGATCACCGTTGCGGGATTTCCCGCGGGTTACGAAACGGGAGGAGGCGCGAAAAATCTGTACGCGGCGAAATTGAACCAAGTCCTGACTTCGGGAAGAGAAATTCGCGCAGTACACTCCGTCGCCGACATTGACCCGCAAAACAGAAAAGGACCGAATCGAAGGAAGTGACATTATTGCACAGGCGAAGTGTGTGTAACTGCAAATGTTGCAGAAACATGAACAACTACTCCTAGTTAGGTATAAAATTACATGGCATGTTGTTTTCACCTGCAGTTGCTGACTTGGCAACGCACATGCTAGAGTAGTTGTCGGAACGTTCTGCGTGAACGTTCGCGACTATCGTCGCTTCGTTCCTATATGGTTCGGGTCCTTCCCATTGTATTCGATTGTTCTCTTTTCTATAGTGAAGCTATGTTCAAGCTTTCTCCCAACACTCTACAAGGCAAGCCAACACAATTTCGTGCCTCAACTCCAAGTGCACATTTCGTGACGAGATTCCCGTGCCCACGTTTTCGTGCCCCGCCATCCCGAAAACTAGAAATCTCCTCATGGTGCGGTGAGCGTGGAACGACGCGCGAAACCTTCAGATAACCGAGGAGATCACGAAGTTTTCAGGCCAGTGCTTGCAGCCACGAAAGGCTCCGAATGTCTGACGACGGCGTCGCTTCAGAAGCCATGGATACCTTGGAGGCCCAAGAGGCTGCTATGCGGGAGCGATTCAGCGATACGGGAATCAGCGCGGAGGACTTGGAGCTCCTGATTCTTGGACTCCATGAACGGTGAGCGCGTGATCATCCACCTCCTCGTGCTGAAGCGGACAACGGGTCTGCCGCTCTTCGTGCTGAAGACAACGACGTGAATCTCGACAATGGAGGCGAAAGGGCAATACGTTGACTTATACGAGGGCCCGTGCAGGCCAACGTCACGAGTGTCGGAGGAACGCAAGCGCAGGTGCTGCGAGCAGCCGCTGCTGGGAGTGCACGCGGTGGTGCAAATGGGTCACGAATCTCTGCTCGTCGAAGTATGGACGGACGCGCGAGGACGTCTCAGCCTTCGACCTCTCGGGACGTGGGCATCGCCCCCGAATATGGCTACTTCAAGCTCTCACCTGACAAAATCGCGGTCCCGAAACCGCTTGAAGGACGCCACGACTTCACAACATGGGTGGAATCGATTGAGTCGCTGCTCGAAATCGCGCAACTGAAGAAATTCATGGATGGCTCCGTGGTACCTCCACCAGACGACGACTACGAGCGCACCTCTCAGTTCCACTCCTCACAACTGCTGACTTTCATGGTGATTTCGCGGTGCTGCTCTCCAGTTGTTCAAGTCGCCCTGAAGCCGTGCCGTATGCGCGAGGACGCGGGATTCCAAGCGTGGCAGTTCATCATGAAGACGTACAAGGCCACGGACAACTTGTACCTCGGGCAATTGGAGCAGCGCTTGACGAACCTCGAAATGGGGGAGCACGAAAGCGCCACAAGCTACTGCAACCGTGCTCAACAAATTCTTGCGGACCTGCGAATGGCGGGCGTGGAGTACGCGATGTCCTCGTACATCACGCACGTGATCAAAGGCCTCCCCGAACGCTATAATCTGCTGCGGCGAATGGTG